AAAACTTTAGTCCAACAACTATTGAATTATCATAAAACAGACATTTAATAAATTTTCTTTATTCAACTTCTCAAAGCAAACATTAAATTTTTAAAAAAAAACTAATATTTTTTGTATTATTATATGAAATTGAGAATAATTCATTACTAAAATAAGCTTAAGAATCATCTACACCAAGATATATACAATTTTTTTGTCTCTTTAATTTTTATTTTGTCTTTTAATTTTCTTTTCTCCAGAGCAGAAGTTTTACTTTCTGCTAACTAAGTTCAACCTTGTATTGCTATAAGAATCTATCAATCAATTCATTATTGATTAAGTTGTAACTTAAGTTACAACTTTAGTTACAAAGACTGCTACCCGATGCTAAACCCTCAGTCGATGTAGCTTTGGAGCAGCAGGCTATAATATATAGTTTATGCATGTAATGAAACATTGTGGCAACAGACCGTTTCAGAGTGATGACAGATATAATATCAAAACACGCATTCATAGTTAAAATTTTTAATTTAATTTAAGTATTATTTAGGGGTCCCCCAAATCGAGTTTATTTCATAATCAAAACAATTATTATGGACTAGTCATTGGTCTTTTAATAATTTATCTGGAAATTTTAGAAAACTCTGCATAAGTAGAATTCTAGTAACACTTTTTGTACACTATTAATGTAGATGGGGTTTCACGAATTTGGAGAGTTGAAATATTACGCCGAAAATTGGGCCAATGAAAGCTTTCTATCTGGGTTAGACAAATAAATAGAAATCCCCATAGCAATAATGGATTTTTCAAATGGTTCTATAATATATTGTGTTATTTGGAGTACAGCGTGTTCAGTGAATTTATATTTTTTAAATCCATATTGGTCTTATATAGTATATTATTTTGAGAAAGATGATTAAAAATTTTATTATAAAGAATTTTTAAGAAAACAGAGAGAACAGATATTTGACGGTATTTACTAGCATTAAATAAGTCTTCTCCTTTAAATATTGTTGAAACTATAGCTATTTTTAATTCTTCAAGGAAAATTCCTCGTTGAATTAAAAACTTAAAATACTTGTAAATACGATATTTTTTATGATACTATATAAATCGATAGCAATGTTATCATTGATATCATTATAACAGACCTCAAAAGAAAATTTAAAAGATTTTAGATAAGACACTGAATGAAAAATAGTTGTGCTAACTTAATATTTTCCTCAAAAGACTGTAAAAAGTGTTTTTTAGATCTTATTCCAATTTAAAATCTACTTCTTTTTTAATTTTAGTAAAACTTTGGGTTTGTTCTTTTTTTTTTTTTTTTTGCATTTTATGATTAAAATTCCTAATTGTGCTATATATGCAAAACTATAGTTTATTTTTGCATTTGGAATTTTTCCTCGTAGGTTGTTAAAATGCCTCACTTTGGTTTGTATATGACGTGCACAATTGCAATCGACGAATGGCATAAGCGGAGACACTCCTCATTGCATGGGGTCATTACTTCAATATCTGGAGTCAAGTGTATAGACATTGAAGTGAAATCAAAGCATTGTTTTGGATGTTGGATGTTTGAAAAAAAAAAAGATACTTTGGATTATTAGATATAGAAGCTGGACCGCCACTGCCAGATAAATCACAAAATATTTCTGGAGCAATGGAGTCTGTTGGTACAATTGCAATATTCTATTCAAAAGCACAATCTTATATACAAAGAGTATTTGGGAGACGGAGAACTTCTTCATTCAATGATGTTATCAAATCAGACCTTTATATGCTTCAGAATATAGTACAAATAAAACGTGAGTGCATTGGACACATGCAAAAACGTCTTGGAACTAGGTTGAAAGGCCTTGTGAAGTCTTACAAGAGTACTAAAAACCCCAATTTCAGGGAAAATGGAAATTAACTAATAAGTGTATTGACTCCATGCAGAATTATTATGGAATGGTAATTAGAAATAACATTGATAATATTTATACAATGAAGGAAGCCATTTACGCTATTCTGTTTCATTTTTGATTTGCATAGTTCTTATGAACGTCATCAATTTTGCCACCGAGAAGCTACTAGTTGGTATAGGTTTTAGTCCAAAGGACAGAAAGCTTATAAGCCATCCAATACAATACCTTTTTGGTTAAAAGCACTGTAACCTATTTTTAAAGATTTGACAAGTGATACGTTATTGGAAAAATGTTTACACGGAAAATCTTTAAAAATAGGTTACAGTGATAAAAATGTTTAAATTTTAAAACCCGAAACCCCAATGAAGCACTAAACAGTATCATATGGTCACGCGTGCCAAAAACAATTTTTGTTGGCAGAGATATTATTGAATTGGCTGTACATTCAGCTGTCATTCATTACAATGATTGTTGCAATGGTGTATTTACATTTTAAGAGCACTTCGGTTTGTTAGCGGAGTTATTTTGAAAAACAAAGCTAATAATTCTAAACTAGATAATTCACTAGAATATTGAAAATTTTTTCACCAAAATTGTTGTTGTATTGTTAAAATTGTTATAAAAACTAAACTATGATTTTGTATAAAAAATCCTTTGTTAAATGATTTATATAATGATGATACACAATCTTACCAAACGCCATCAGAAATTGTTTATTCTGTATGAAGTTATGTTGTCACAAAAAAGCACTTAAACTGCAATTTTTTTTTTGGCCATTTTGAATTGGTAGTAATAAATTTTTAAAAACTTTTTACTAAAAATATGTTGTTATCATTTCTATAACCGTTTTTACACACACAAAAAAATGTGGGCCTATTGACTTTCTCAAAAAATCGTTTTTTATAGCCCTACCATCTTACAGCTTAATAATGAGTGCTTAAATAAAAATGAGTGATTAAATAAAAATGAGTGATTAAATAAAAATGATACCTAAATGAGTTCTAACATTATTCTTTCCAAAGCTATAGGCAAACCCATTTGTCACATTTCACAATCGGGAATCCTAGAAAAGTTATTTTAATTAGCAAACAATTTTTTAAAATACTAAAAAATGTTTAAAAGGTATTTTTTTAACTTTTCTTGTTAAAAATTTGAAACAAAAATTAAATTTTGATAAGTTTTTGTCATTTTACGCTGTTTGCTATTTTGTGTCTTAATATGGATTTGGGTTAAATGCGTCTCAATTAGCCTTATGATTCATTTGCACTCCTCAAATGCGTTTTCAGAGCTTTCACTTATACTTTTACATTTGAAAAATAATTAACAAAGAAGTTTACACTGTCTTCTTTAACCATTGTTGCGGATCATTTTTTAGTTATACGTTTTCACTTTTTTTTAATTTCTTTTGACGAGCTCAGGATTTACTAAGTAACTTAAAATACTAATATTTATGGTTTTGCTTTTTTTTACCATTAAAAGTCTTTCTGAGTTGGCTAATACTCATCAAAATTTGGCAAATACAAACCAAATGTTTATTCTTTATTTATTTTTCATCGCTTACATTGTATTAAAAATTGCTAAATTAAAGATTTTACAATTAAACCCAAAATTGAAATTTTGGGTTTAATTGTAAAATCTTTTAAAAATGACCATTAAATTTTATTTAAAAATACAATGGGCCGCAGTAAAAAATTTGTCACCCTTCTAAAAAAAAGTCTTGATACGGGCCTGCATCATGTAACTTAAATAAACATTTATTACCATGTAACTTAAAATACTAATAACAAATATTTAAACTTAAATAAACAAGTATTACCATGAAACTTAAATAAACAAGTATTACCATGTAACTTAAATAAACAAGTATTACCATGTAATATAAATAAACAAGTATTACCATGTAACTTAAATAAACAAGTATTACCATGTAATATAAATAAACAAGTATTACCATGTAACTTAAATAAACAAGTATTACCATGTAACTTAAATAAACAAGTATTCATCATGTAACTCAAAATACTTAGATTACTGCTAACTACACAGCTTAAAATGTAAATAATATTAAAATAAACCTTAAACTGTCACTATTACATTAATATTATTTTAATATTAAAACAAAAATAATGTGCAACACTTTTAAAATAGTTGCACTATAATTTGCAATCAGCTACAATCCAATCTTATTCTATTGAAAGGATGTGTGATATGATATACAAACAGCAAAATTTTTTTTTCAGTAAATTTTGTTAAAAAACATTTGCCTCAAATGCTCAAACTAAAATTTTAGCAATTTCTCCTAAAAAAGAGGTAGGCTAAGTTTTTAATTTTATAAACATTTTTTTTAAGTATTTAAATAGAATATATAAAGTTAAACAAAAAAAAATTAAATGCATATATTTTAACTTTGCTATTCCATTTACATGCCTTTCAACTGCTTTATTTCATTGAAGCATTTTTAATGTTGAAAAAAAGCAACAAGAAAATTACGGAAGAAAAATTAAAAAAAGATAAAAAATTAAATCTATGCATTGATATCTTTACACATGTAACCTCTGGAATCAGGATTATTTAAATAATTGAAATTTAAGCTGAAAAAACTCTGTTCTAAAAATCCAATACTGGATAAATTGGTTGCTCTTTGTAAAAAAATAAAACTTAAAGAAAATAAACTTGGAAGTAAGGATCATCTCAAATATCTAGTGTCAGGGAGTCATATTGCAGCTATAGTGCTTGACTGCAAACTCGTATGCAATTAAAACTCTCAATATTTATAATCCTTTACATACAAATAATGATGCATCATTTTTTCAACGAACACACAAAAAATTGTATATATCAAAATAATGTATTTTATGTTATTTATGTTGCTGCTGTAACATCAATAATTTTATTACCAGTTCTGGATAATACTCCAATAATGGCTTTTTCAAAGTCATTAAAATATTGCAAATCACTTGATAAATTCACTGGATAAGTGCAGTCACTTATCCAGTAAATACTCAATGTTTTTGGAACATTGCATTTTTGACACTATTCAGCCATTTAAAAAATGATTATACATTGCTGAATATTGAACGTTATTTAATGATTACTTTTGAAAGACAAAAAAAGTTTTCAATGTCATTAAACTATATAATAGATAATGATATTGGAAAATGATAAACTATTAAAACAATTTTAAAAAAATTATCAAAAAAGCTGTAAAAAAAAACTATTTGTTCATTACAACGCCAACATCCTCATCTGTTTCCAGCCCAGTCTCATCAAGAAGTTCTTTTTTAGACTTTGGATATCCTTCAAGAATTGTATCTAAAATATCGTTAGCCATTCTTTTTCTTTTTCTCCAAAAAGTTGTTGCTAAATCTTTTTTTGATTGAATTTTTTTGAAATCTTCTTTTGTCACTGAATTTTTATTATCTTTTAAAGTAAATATTTTCTCTTTGAGCGCCATATTCTCTTTTTCTAAATATTGAATTTTGATCTTTGCTTCATCAGTTGTTAACTGATTTTTAAAGTTTGCTAATTGTCCTTCAAGCTGCTTAGATTCTTGTTGAAGAATAGAAACCTTTTCTTGTAAATCTGCTATCAATATATCAAGAGATTTCACTTGGCTTTCGTCATGACATTCGTTTTCATTTTGAATTGGTGAATAAATTTTTTGTTTGCCATAAATTTTTTCTATTATTTTTTTTTCCTCAGCTAATGTTTCAAGAGTTTTTACCACTACTGTTTTACCTAATTCTTTGTGAAGATTATTAAAGATATCAATTGCACTATAAGGTCGGTTTTGCTGTTGTAAGTATTCTAAAATGACTAATTTCGGTGATTTTTTATCCATTATGAATGAAAAAACTACATAAAGTAAATAAAGATATAATAACATAAAAATGATCATACATATATATATATATATATATATATATATATATATATATATATATATATATATATATATATATATATATATATATATGCATATATATATATATCTATATATCTATATATCTATATATATATATATATATATATATATATATATATATATATATATATATATATATATATATATATATATATATATATATATATATATATATATATATATATATATATATATACATATATTAGATAAGGATTGTGACGCCATACTTAAATATATATAAAAGAGCAGTCAAATAATGAAAAATTTAAAAAGAATAAATATAATAGTAATAAAAGTAATTTTATTATTATTATATTTTAAAACACCGATGACGCCATCATCAAAACAAAGCGCATAAATAATGTAAGCAATAAACAGATATAATAATAAAAAAATGATAATATGATAACATTAATAAGAATAAAAATATTAATTATTATTATAATATAATAAGAAATAGCAATAATATATGGCGCTACTCGACTTTCTCCCCCCCCCTGTTTTTATGATTGATTTTTATAGAGTATATTATACTGATTCTAAATCATATAAAAACATAGGTCTGAAAACTTGAGGAAAGTACTCTAAACTGATGTTAAAGTATAAAAATCCACATTAAAAAACGCTAATATTTCACCATCTTTTTAAAAACATTTTAACACTGTTTTTAAAATTTAGGTAATTAATTTTTTAACTAACGACCCGGTTTTTATTGTTGTTTTTATATTTTATAATGTACACACATCAACTGACATATAGGAATAGGCGCAACTAAATGTACATGTATCGACTGACAAATAGGAATTGGCGCGATTAAATATACATACATCGACTGACAAATAGGAATTGGCGTAAATAAATGTACATATCTACTGACAAATAGGAATTGGCGCAATTAAATGTACATGATTTTGGTCAGGGTTTGGTTGGGGCAGGAAATCAATAAAAAATGCGTTTTAAATTGAAGCGTCGATAGAAACCAGGGTTTTTCAAAGTTTTTATTGAAAAAGAATTTTATTATGACCGAGTATGACAAAGATGGCTAATATTAGCGTTTTTAATGTGGATTTTTATACTTTAACATCAAATTAGAGTACTTTCCTCAAGTTTTCAGACCTATGTTTTTATATGATTTAGAATCAGTATAATATACTCTATAAAAATCAATCATAAAAACAGGGGGGGGAGAAAGTCGAGTAGCGCCTAATATATTACCGCTTGTATATATGTAGTAATATATGTACCATATAAACTATATATATATATATGTATATAATATATGTACTATATATGTAGTAATATTAGTGTTGTTATTATTATCAACACTTTAATCACCAATAATAAAAGTAGTAATAATAATAACAACACTAAAATTACTGCAAGTATAATTATTATTTTATGTGGTTCCATGGGTAAATCCATGGAGTTACATAGTGAACAAGTCACAATGGTGGCGTGATACTTAATAAAGTTAACTAAAGTACAACATAATGAACTTTTTTCCGTATTATAACTGTATAACAGTAATAAATAATTTTAGTATAACAGGTTTATAGGCGACTCATTTAGGTAAAACGTGAAAATAAACTATGCATTTATATTTAGTACTTTTAAATTAAACCATAGGTAAGGTTCAATTTAAAAAGTAATAAATACTTATCTTTTATTAATATTATTATTATTATTATTATTATTATTATTATTATTATTATTATTATTATTATTATTATTATAATTTTGTATTTTTTATTATATATTACGTCTGATGACGATCTGTGCAAAACAGGTTGAAATGGTACAAAGAGAAAAATAAATTTTACCCTAATTAATTACGTAGTATAATTTATTATAACTAGAATTGTCAGACAATTTAAATAGTTTTTTTTTCAAAGTCATCATTTTCAAAGTCATCATATTTCTTATACTATAAGAAATTTGACTTTGAAAAAAATACAATTTAAATTGTCATAATAATATTTATTATATTTATTTAACATTATTATATATACCTTAAAAAAATAAATAAATGACTGTATTATTACCAAATTAACAATAAAATATAATTATTATAATAATAAAAAATAAAATTAAACCAAAATATATAAAAAGAAAAAGGTGTAAAAGTTATACAAAATTTATTTTATCCAAATTTTCATCTCCGAGAAAATAACAACTCGTGACGTCACTTTCGCGCTATTATTTGTTTATTTTTATTTCGATTTAGTTGACTTTATATAAAAAGTAAATTTGAACGCTGTCAATTCCGAAAGTTACACTTAAAAGAAGGTCTATCTTCAAGTGGCCACACCTTTTTGTGAAAAACCCTACATGGAGTTATACCTGCAGTTCGTTCTTGTAGTAACAGTTTTTTAACAGAAATGTTCATATCAAAGTTTAGCATTTTTTTTCATATACTTTCTTAAAAAAAACCTTATATTAAATTACTATATCGCGACGTTAGAATTATCTTGTGCTATCTCCATGTTTTTGCAAACTGAGAAAATCGATGTCAAAGTTTGAATTTGTTCGCAGCTAAATTGAAAAAATATTTTGAGAATTTAGGTATTTCCTAAGATTTAAAAATGTTTTATTATTAATTTTTAGATAAAAAAAACTTTTTAAAATTACGCTAACGCCCTTTTTTTCGCACCCTCTTTTGGAGATAGAACAAAATAACTTTGGTTTTTAGTAAAATTCAAAAATATTATGTTGTTACATCATATATATTAAACATATTAAGTACATTTTTCAACAACGACATGTTAGAAATTGATGAAATTTTGTTCTACCTGCTAATTATTCTTACGCAGTACCATACACTCCTAATTTATGGGCATGGGCCTCTAAATTAGGGGCATGGGCCCCTAATTTAACGGGACCCTTTTCAAAATATAAGACGCTTTTTGTATTACCTAAAAAATTAAGTTTTTTTAAATAAAATGAGGCCCTAATTAGGAGAACTTTTAGAAGAGCCTCTAACGACACTGTTCTTACGACTTACATTTACTTTAATTACCTGTAGGCGCCGGCCCTGGACAAGACTAAGACGTCTAATTTAAAACGGAAAATTTGGCTGCGTAATAATAATATAAACGTATTAATATAATATAAACGTATAAAATAAATTATGAAAGGTATATGGGAAAGAGTTATGTTTAAAAAAATGTAATAATAAAAGAAATAACATTATGTAACTATCTGATAATTCACAACAATTCAACTAATCTAATCACAAACTCCATGCAAGATGAACTTGATTTTATTTTTCTTATGCCTGTGTATCCATTAATAGAGTTTAACTTTTTATTAAAAGTTATTGCAAATATTTACAAATAAAAAATTGTTACTCAAGTTAACGTCAGGAAGGGCATCAGGTTGTGAAACATTGCTTTAACTCTTTCATAGTGGCCTTTATGTCACTATGGAAAACCATCCAAACCAAACAAGTGGGGGAAAATGAATATAAAAGTACAAAAAAACAAACAAAAAAAACACAAGCTAAACAAAAATTTTTATCAAGATTTCAAAATAATATTATTTCAATGTGTTTTATATTTATATTTATACTAAATAAATATTTTATTTAAATATGTTATTTATATGTATATTATTTATATTATTATATATATATAAATATGTTATTTATATTTATACTAAACATATAACAACCCTAAAAATATTTTGACTTTATTAATGGTTTGTAAATGTTCAATTTATTATTGTTTTATAAAATGCAATATCAACAGCAATATCAATATCATTTCCATGTATGAATACATGGAAATGATATCATTGGCTTTTGCAACAGATATAGACTGATAAGAAGCACGAAAGCAAGCTGCCATTGGTATATTGGTATTTAATGGTTTTGCAACAATGGTTGATGCTGCTTTCTTGACAGACTTATTTATACGAGCTTGTGAATAATTATCTGAAAACGAGGTTTTAAAAAAAACATGGTATGGCAGTCCGTTTCGATAAACAAGATTTTTAACCTTTGAATAAGGCACTAACTTATAACTTGACAAACCAGCGACAACTGAAAAATTCTTTACATCTCCTAATTGCATTTGGTAAACACAGAAAGGTTTTTTACGGTTTACATTTTTAATAGCTCTTTCTAGCCCAAGTGGACTAAATATTTCTGCAGCAGAGAGGGATTTTTCAATCTGACTATGAATGTTGTCACATTCTTGAATGCTGGAATGACCTGGCTTGCAGAACTTCTGTTCAATTACTTTTATTTGTGGGTATCGTATTATAAATTCACACAAAGCTGCTGACATGAAACTATTGCGGTTTTGTGGTACAAAACCGCAATAGTTTGACCTTTGAATAGTTTGACCTTGACATAAATAAGTTCATACTTTGGTTCGATTCATAATGAATCGAACCAAAGTATGAACTTATTTATGTCAAGGTCAGCCATGATTTTCAAACATGTTACAGCACTGGCTAGATCATTTCCTCCACGACCAGTCATGGCTTCGTGCTAAAGGATGCAATAACCCTTCCTGTTAAGCGAGCAATGACCAGTTAAGTTATAATTTGAAAGTTTTTGTTTGTAATAAAAGTTTCCCACATTAGCTCTAGGCAAATTTAAAACATTTTCAAGGTCAATACAAACAATTGCAGTTTTAGAATCAACATTTTGGCGATCATTTTCACGTTCCGTTTTGGTATCATTCCTTGATTTTATGTGCTTATTATAACTATCTGTTTGTTCATTGCTTGCATTAACAATGTTGCGATACTCATAGCATGTGTCACATAAATCTTTCTTCGGTTTTTGAAATTCTATATTGAACTCGTGATTAAAGATATAACGATACATATGTTCTTTTGCTGGAGGAGAGACATTTTCATCACAATATATTTTATAAAGATCATACATTCTACCTATATTTAGTGATCCTTCCATGTATTCTTTATGTGTCTTTTTCCTGCTATAATGAGCATCAATTCTTGGGAAAAGGTTAATATGGTCTCGTACAACTTGTTTAGACTCTTCTAGTAACCTTTTTTTAACATGTTTCCCTGATTTTGATTGCAATGGTGTTCCAGTAGTTAAAGATTTATTAAACTTATGAAAGTAAAACACTCTATGGCTGCTAATATTCAATGTTGAAAGATAATATGATTTACAAACTCTATATTGTGTATTAGAAACAAAAAAGCTAAAATAATAAGATGTTTTTCTTCTTGAATTGTCACCAGCAGCTGTCCGACAGCGTTTTTTCTCCAGATTTTCAGTAGTTTTAGAATAGAAATGTTTTTTTCCGTCATCATCTAAGGTCCAAAAGTTATCAAATATTATTTGACGCTCAATCTCAGATATATTGGTAGAACATTTAAATTTACGATTTCTGCAACTTTTTAGTGCAACAATAGATCTTTTTGGCATTTGTTCTCCTTTCGTATTTTTATAAGCTTTACCCGACTGACGTTGGATTTTTCTTACACTTTGTTTCCAACTACTCCTATCAGCTTTACGTTTCCTAGAAACCCCACCATGGGGCGACCGACGAGAAGGTGTAATGCCAAGCAGCTCTAACGATTAAAATATTTTTTATTATCCAGGATGTATAAATAATAACTTTTAAATTTAATCTAAAATGGCACAAGCGAAAGTCGAATTCTACTTTTCCAAAATTATAATACAAAGTAAGTTGAAAAACTACCTTCGTTTTGATTTAGGGCAGGTTCCATTTCTTGGTCAATATTTGCAGTTGCCATTTTGAAAACAACAAAATTTTGTAATTGTAATATGATTGGTTGATTGGAGATAGAACAAGATAATATTTTCAAGTTTGCTCATTAAGGAGATAGAACAATGCAATATTGCATGCAATACCGTGTTAAAAGTTTCATTTTTTTTCAATGTAATTAAAGTAGAACAACACAATGCTAAAATATTCGAAAAAAATAAAATCTCAATTTTTTCAAAAATTGGAGATAGCACAAGATAATTCTAACGTCGCGATATTACAAAATGATATCACATCTTACATACAAAAATATTTGCTCATATTAGAGAAAAAGACGTGAATAAAAAAGCTTTAACTCATTAAACATCGAGCAATTGCTTCAAATTTTATGAGCACTTTTAATAGTTGCTTTTTGTTTTATTTTTTGATAATTTATTTTATTATTTTATTACTTTTTTTTACTATTTTTTGACTATTACACTTGACTATTACACAACGGCATTTCCCTCAGACAAACCATCGAGTGACTGTATTCTTTTGAAACGGTGATAGAGTTCCAATTCTTTCATTGCTTGGATATATTGTCTGAAAAAGTATTTTAAACTCTTCTCGTTGAATGGATAGCATTAAATCAAAGTAATGTTGAACAATAAGATTCAAAGAGTGGTATGTACAGCGCATCAAAATACAATCAGGAGAAACTGTCCGAACACAAGACCAAACTTTGACTTTAATTTCGAACCAGCAAAAAAATCAAAACCTAGAAAGTCATCAATAAGTGAATTCTGTTGGTATGAATAGTATCGAGCACAAATGCAGAGATGTTTTGTTGAAAAAACATCAGTTGATCCATCAATCAGGATGGAAAAAAGCTCATCTGCCATAGATTAAGAAATTTCTGTCTCAATTTATGATGAAATTATATTTTTAATAATTTAAGTGCATTTAGTTTGATGCAGACGAAGGTTTTCAAGAAGACTATTTTTTCCATAAAGAGAAATTATTTCTCATAGGTGATCCATTGTTGAAAAAGATGCATGACAGCACACACAAAAATTAAAATGGATGTCTGCTTCATAGCCTGCTTTCTTTTATATTAAAGGAAATGTTATTGAGTTAAGATTCTCTGTATAGTCTCACGACAAACAGTACAGTAACCTGATTCAGTATCAATAGAGCTTTTTTTTAAGTCAAGGATAATTATTTCCCCATTTTGAAAGTTTCTTAAATTTACTCCTTTTCTTGACATTTTGTTTAATGCTCTAAAACAAATTAAATTAAAACCAACTGAAAAAAAAATCAACTTAACAGTTTTTTAAAAAATGTCAAAGTAATGCCAAAATGTTGTTGTTTTTGTAGCAATGCTAGAAATTCAACGCGCTCATCATCGGATTCCGCTTCATTTCAATAGCATCATGTCCAGAAACTTTTGCAATAATGCCCTCATCCGATGATTTGTTGGCAATGCAAACATCGAAATCTATATCTACTAACTCGTCGGCCGTGAGGTTAATATCTTCATCAAATTTTGCTTTTAACAATTCTAGATCATCTTCTAAGTTTTCCATTAAAGCCTCATCAAAATTGCCACAAAAAGGATTGTTATTATGATTTGTATGCTTTTCTATTGCTTCTAATCATATTCCCGATTTCTTGAAATAATCTATAAACGTCTGGTCTGGAATGGATGAAATAATCTATAAATGTCTCGTCTGGAATCCATGCGTTTGTTAGCATAAACATAGCAGGTAATAAACTTAAGTATCTTGTTCTTTTTTTCCAAGGCAGCAATCTGCTTTTTCACTGCGGGTGTGGGATATTTTGCTTTAAGAGATCGAAAAATTCCTTGATCCATAGGTTGGGAGATTGAGGTTGTATTCGGTGAAAGAAAGAAATGCTCCACCCAATCAAGTTTCTGCACGTTAGCACGTTAGAACAGTTATCTATAATTAAAACAACTTTTCTTTGCTGAAAACTAAACTTTAAGTCAATTCCTTTAACCCACTTCTTGGATAATTCTGGCAACGTCAATTGGTAGAAAAAACCGAATTCATCGACATTAGTAATATTTTCAAGTGGATATTTAGAGAGAAAAATTTAGTGACATTTTATATGCATTTAAGTGGGTTAAAACTGTCATTTCAGAAATATAAATGATTAGAATAGACGTATATATGTTTGTCTAACAAATATGTGAGCATGCATCAATTCTTGCCGAAAAATCGAATGTAAAGCCAGTAACGCCACGAGTACACACAGGCAAACAATTTCAGTGAGCAAATCCGCCCTTTGAAACATTTGAAGAATATTTTAAAAGGTCTCTCATCATTCCATTTATAGATCATATTTTAGTTGAATTGAAAGATAAATTTAAATTATCAGATACAATTAAGTTATAATAAGTTTTGTACCTTCTATTATCTGCGTGAAAACTTTAGTGGAACTTTCTGAAATGGTTCAAAAAACTACGATACATTATGAAAGTGATCTCCCTAACTTTAATTTTCTTGAGGAAAAAATAATTATGTGGCAAAATATTTGGCTTAGATGTCAACCATATAACCGACCCTCAAGTTCTGCTAGTGCTCATAAAAATGTAAGCTAAATAAGTTTCCGAATATTTACATTCTTTTTTCACTTGGATGTGTTCTACTAGTCACTAAGCCAGAATGTGAATGAACGGGAAGCGTGATTTGACGCCTTTATTTGTACACAAGAGCAACACAAGGACAGTAACGACTCTCTGAGTTAGCTTTAATTCACTATGCATATTCACTATGCGCATCCACAATGATTATAACTTTGATTTATATGTGGCCGTTATAATGCTTGCAAAATTATATCCGAGAAGATTAGAATTTGTCTCTTTTGTTTTAGACAATTAACACTTGTTGTAATTAATTTAATATTTATCATTTAGACAAAATGTCAGTTGTTTATTTACTTTTTCATCACTTTCATTATATTAAAAATTGCGGTAAATTTTATGTTTAATTTTAATATTTTAAAAAAATGACCTTTAAATTTTGTTTAAAAAAACAGTGAGCTGCACTGTGGGCAAGGTAGTGGACAAAAGTAAAAAAAATATATTTTCAAAAAATACATTATTATACCACTTTATAACTTAAACTTTCAGCTTTTATAAAATGTATGTATTTTTGTATAATTATCATGACGTATGCTTCTTAGCTGTAGAATAAAGAACTTTTTTTTTTTTAATTTAGCACGTAAGTTATGTCGAATAAAATAACTTCAAATGACGGCGTATTTAATGTATTTTTTTTAGCTAAAATTTCATTTATATAGTCGAATACTTTTGCGGTCCGAAGCGGTCCACTAATTTGACAAAAACATTTGAAACAACTTAAATTAATAATATACATTGTTTAATATGTATATTATTAACTTAAGTTTGGTTTATAGTCCACAAATGTACGCCTGGTCTCTAATAATGATTTTTACAAGTTAAATGATGTATCCAATTTTATCTGGCGAAAACATTATATGTAATTTATTCTAAATGGTTATGTAATAATTGGGTCTCAGCAAGACTAGATTAGTGTTACAAACTTGTTTTAACATTTATACATCTTAAAATACCTATTTATAAGATTTTGTAAATTAAATTCATATTTTTATATAGTTAAAACATGAAAAATTTATATTTATTCCTAAATAATATAAGAAAAACCGAAAATAACTAATCTTAATATTTTAGATGCAGTTGTAATAGGCATAAACTTAACTGCATATAATGACCTGTCTAATTTCATAAAGCATCTTTGACGAAGGTATATATGCAAAAACTCTAAAATTTGTTTTGAAGAGAATAACAAACAATTGCTACAAAATGAACCAATATCAGTTCAATTTGTAATTGATAATAAGAAAATTTAGGGTTCGGCAAATGCATCTGCGCAGATCTGCGCAGACATAACATGCGCATATCTGCGCAGACGTCGTAATACGTAATACGTTACAAGACGACGTAAATTAATTTTTTTTTTAATTTAATTTCAGACAATATTTAATAAAATATTTTCAGACATTTTGAAAAACTCGTAAAAAGTAGGTAATTATCTACTTTTTACGAGTTTTTCATTACTTGTCTGTTTCTTTTTTGTTCGAGCTACATATAATCAATCGATATAAACTTTTTAAAGTGTTTCTTACTATAATTTAAAGTGATTTAAAATAAAGAAATTGCGTATTTTCGTCATAACAAATGTTTAAAATGGAAAACATCAAAATTTTGAATTATTTGACAAATCTTGATCAAGAAATCACCGAATAGGCGCCAGCATTATATATTTTTATTACAGTAAGAATCTTTGAAAACTCCTATTGTTACTAATCACTGAATTTATAATAAAGTTAAAACATTTTAAAAGTTTAAAACTTTTTTTGTTGATTTCAATAAATTGTCAGTAATAATAATATCTGCGCAGATCTGCGCCGAGAGACGAACCTTAGTATATTTTAGCAGTAATAATAAATTTTGTCAGCGCCGACGTCTGCGCAGACAAATTACAATGTCTGCGCAGATCTGCGCATGTCTGCGCAGATCTGCGCCAACAGTGCGAACCCTAAGAAAATTCTACTACCTGCTTCCATTGATAAAGAAAACTCTGCTCTCATCCAAATGTAGCATCTGGCAGGCCCCAAGTGAATTTTGATACTTTAAGTAGTAAAACAAAGAAATGAAGATTGACGCCATTAGTTGCATCATATTCATCTTAAAAACTATTGTTTGCATCAGGTTGTAGTATGCGCCAAGAGGGTAGAAAAAAAAAGAAGCTGTTTTACAATTATCAGAATATATGAATTTTAAATCAAAATAAATAATTTTAAGTCAAAATTTTTATATTACTATATACACAAAAATGTTTAAACTTTAGGTTTCTTTTTATATTACTATATACACAAAAAAGTTTAAACTTTAGGTTTCTTTTTATATTACTATATACACAAAAAAGTTTAAACTTTAGGTTTCTTTTTATATTACTATATACACAAAAATGTTTAAACTTTAGGTTTCTTTTTATATTACTATATACACAAAAAAGTTTAAACTTTAGGTTTCTTTTTATATTACTATATACACAAAAAAGTTTAAACTTTAGGTTTCTTTTTATATTACTATATACACAAAAATGTTTAAACTTTAGGTTTCTTTTTATATTACTATATACACAAAAAAGTTTAAACTTTAGGTTTCTTTTTATATTACTATATACACAAAAAAGTTTTAGCTTTAAGTTTCTTTTTATATGGATTATAAAATAGTTTCATGGAATATAAAATAGAGCTCTGGAGCTGCATAAAAATACTTAAAATTAGTAATTGGGAATGTTTTAATTTTTTTTAATGCATAAAATAATTTTTAATTATGCTGCAAAATTAATATTAGTCTAGTTTATAAGATTGATGCTTTAAGAAAAATTACATAAGCTTGTAATTATGCAAAATGAACGGTTGCAAGGCATTTCAGGTGTCATTGTCAACCAAATAAAAAATAGTACCTCTACATTTGTAGTATAAAAGTACCTAATGTGGCAATTATAAGAGTAACCCAATAAAGCTATAACTTTACCCAGCTTATTTTTTTAGGGTTAATAAAAGATGTGGTTGCTTAGCAATTTAGGTATCCATAGCAATCCAAAATAAAAATTGTCACCATTGAAACCGGAATCCTCAAATTAGTAAACGGTGCAAAAATGGTTCTTCCCAGTGGGCACGGAAGTAAAAAAGACGTCTTTTAAACGTTTAAAATACGTCCAAAACGTTCAAAAGACGTTCAGAAAACGTCTAAAACGTGTATAAGACGTTTAAAAGACGTCTTTTTTTACTTCCGTGCCCACTGGGTTAACTCTTCTTATATGACTAGTTATTAGTTTTGTCCAGTAAAAATGAATTCTGGCCCACTGTGGGCTGCAGTAAAAATTTTTTTTGTAAATAATTCACACTAATCGTTTTTTGCATTTAATCGATTTATGGAGGTTTTCGAATTAAGAAGATACGAATTAGAGAGATTGTATTGTATATTGTCAATTTCAAAAACTACTTCTTTCAACTTTTTTTTTAAAAACATGTAATTCCATTCAAAAGAAAAATCAAAGTTATTTAAAAAAATTTTGTTTGAAAGATACAGTCCACCATTACATTAAATATGATTAGTTTTCGGAAATGATTACGTCAAAAAGTCATCATTTCGTAGATCGTACTTGTTTTTTTGTTATATTACAGGGCCGACGATGCCGGAGGGGCGCGTGCCCTCCACTTTTTTTCTAAAGGACTTTTTTTTTTTTTTAAGAAAAAATTCTAGATAGAGACTTTTTTAAGAAATAGACGATTGTGCCTCTCCACTTCGAAACACGTATCGTTGGCTATGTATTATAAATAAACCACAAAAAAAGAGACAGATATAATTTTGTTTTACGTTTGTACATAAAACAAAGACTATTAAATACGTTAAGTTGATATATGTTTAAAACATTTATTTTTCTTAAGAGCTAAACTGCATTATATGTTCCACATGTGGGCCGAAACTAATCGTCAGATTATATGTTCCGCATGTGGGCCGAAACTAATCGTCAGATTATATGTTCCGCATGTGGGCCGAAACTAATCGTCAGATTATATATCAATCATAAACTAGAGTTTTACTCTTTTTACTCAATTTTAAACAGTATTTTAATTTAATTTTAAATTAATTTTAAACAGTATGACTACTTGTTAGCCACATAAACTTTTCTTGTCGAGAGGATTATATCACTTAAAGTAGCATAATTATGTAGACTTTTTATATCTGGATCGCATGTGAACATCAACCATCAGCTCGTTTATAATTTCACATTTTTCCCCACTTATATACACTATGGCCACGCGTGTACCTTTCGAGTCGGGTAGACTTCTAATATATTTCTGCCTTATTTAAGTAAAATTTTTACTGAAACTATTTCAATCATTAAATTGCAATTATCTCAAAAGCTTTTTTGAAAGTTTCGATATTTCACTGTGCGATATAATTTTTCTTAAATATAAAAACAACTTTTAAATAAAAACAATTATTTTAAATAAGAAAATAACCAAATAATTTTTGTTTGGTTAAACCATGATGAAAACTGATGCAGTTTCAAATAGTTTTACTATAAAAATTTCTTTAAACTATTGTACGCAAATAATAATTAAATAAATAACAATTTGTATCTTGCTTTTAGGCGAGAGCATTTATAAAATAAAAGTATTTTGTAAAAGTTAACACGTATTTTCAGGTTAAAGGAGTATCGGACAGTTTTAAAAACTTTCCGGGATTTAAATTTTTTGTATCAAGTTATTGCTTCATTGAGTTTATTTATTTATTTAAACAATTTGACGTCATCTAAAACATACAAAATAAATAGTATAAATTAAGATGTTTCAATTCACTTTAAAATATTTTTTAATAAGTTTAACTTATAAAAAATTATTGATTAAAATGAAATTGCATTTTATTTTTTTATGATTCATGGCTTTAGCAATTTGTAGAGAAGCAGAAGAATGCAGTCAGATTATAAAGTTATGGAAGAAGATCTCGAATATGATAAAATAAGTAGAGGTATTTTTATGTTAAGCCTAAGTAATCAATATTACAAAAATATTTTTTTTAGTTGAAAAATGTATTTTTTTAAGGCGTTCTTTATTATTCTTTGCTAACTTTCGGACTGAAAAACTTTGTTATACCTAATATTATTATCATTATTATATATATATATATATATATATATATATATATATATATATATATATATATATATATATATATATATATATATATATATATATATATATATATATATATATATATATATATATATATATATATATATATATATATATATACTATCGTCCATAATTATTCGAATGGTAATGCTTTTCTATATAAGATATCAAAATTTTATTTACTATTTGGCGAAAACAAAATCTACCTGAATTATACATTACCTTCCTATTTATTAGGTTTGCAAAAAAATATATATATAAAGTCCCATTAGATTAGTTAATTCACTTGCCTATTAATCACCTATAACAACAATAACCGTCACATATACTCTTGGCATTTTACTGAACTACTTATCCAATTTGTTATAGTCAATTTTATATCACTAACTAATAAGTTTTTTTCACCTCTTAGATATCATTAAAAATTACTTTTTGGCATTACTTTTAACTCTTCCCATAAAAATCCGGTAGGAGTCCCAAATGCCAGCTGAGGAGAAATCTTGTAGTTGGGGAAGCTAAATCATTCTATTATATTTTGATCATTCTCGACTTCAGTCAAGCAACTTATGCAATGTTCGGAAAAATATGATTTGAATTTGAACTATATTTGATTTTCTTCTAAAAGAAATGGCTTCCCATTAACACAAATTTCCAAAGGTATAGCATGACTTTTAACAAATTTTTTTCAGACAAACAATCTTCTCTTGAAACCAAATATTTAGAACTGTGACACGTCGGTCTACGTTTACAGTAATTGATGGTCCATTTTTTATTTAGTTTTGCCCACTTTAGCTTTTTTATTTTAAATTAACTTTGACATATAAAATGTCACAAAATCAGATTGAACTGTCATTTGCTTGTATTCGTTTTCATTAACATTTATTAACATTTCAATAACAATCCAGATGTATATCAGGTAAAATCTGTTTTAAAAAAAATTTATTAAGAAACTCTATTATAGGATTAAAATTTAGCAACTTTTGACTAAACTATATATATTTTGACTAAACTGACTATCAGAATATAGTAAGATTTTTTGTAAGAGAACTTCATAGTAAAAACATCTGACATGTGCAAGAGTTTGATTTCTCAACAGGCTTTGTCCTTAGATCATCAATAATCTATATTTTGCAGCTCACCATAGATAAGTTTTATAACATTTAAAAACCTGGGTGGTTTAATATTTCAAGCGCTGAAAGTTGAAATGCCTTTATCGCCGTCAGAAACATGCGATCCATTTAATAAATTTTGCGGATCGATATACTCATTCCAAATGATTTTTTATTGAAATAAAAGTTCTCAATATATATGAGGTTAACGTTTGTAATTTTTTGTGCTCTATGTGTATGTGGAAAAATGACATATTTTTACCCGTTTTCAAAGAAATCTTTCTTTGAAACAAATAAATAAGTATATACTTAAAAATGATAATTTTATATATTAGTCTTTTTGTTGAACCAAACTTAATCAGTTTTGTACTGCATACCGTGCACCCTATCTTTCGGCATGTATTTTACTTTTCCCATTTTCAAATATAAACTGGAAAGTTTATTTATCTTAATGAATGATGTAGTCAAGTTTTTTTAATTGTAACTTTATAATTTATTTGAAACTTTTTATTGTTAACTACGTTATATTTTGTTGATTATGTTTTGATGGAGTTAATATACAAGTATATATTTTTTGTGAAAGTAATTTATTTACTACAATTTGTGTTTGTGAAAGTAATTTATTTACTATGACAACAAATGTAAACTAAAAAAAAAAAAGTGCTCTCCTCACTTTTTTTCTAAAGTACCTTTTTTTTTTTTTTTTTAAGAAAATTCTAGGTATTTCTAGGACTTAAGAAATTGACGATTGTGGCCTTCTTTTTCGAAACCCGTGTCGGCCATGTGTGGAGCAATTTAGAATTGTTTTTATGTGTTAAAAATGTTTTCGGCAAAAACCCGTATGCCCCCCCCTCTCCACTTGAAGATGATGTGTATGCACCAATTTCTCCAGCAATGACAGCTGAACTACAAATGAAAGACGTGCATCTATTCTTAATAGAGAAATAGATGAAATCATGTTTTCCTAACTTAGGATGCACTCTACAAAATCGACTTGACTCATACTTTTACATTTGCTTATGATGACAGATGTTTCAGTAGAATATAGATTATCAAAAATTATTTGTGATCAAAAATAGCAATTAATGTCCTTTTGGATTAACATTATTTTTAATTGAATGTGAGCTTGCTAAGAGCATAGACTTTGAATTATCAATAAACCATTTTACTTCAACACAGCGGGTACAGACGTTCGTAAAACGTCTTATAGTCAACGCCTTATAGTCATCAGAATTCCGTATGGTGTTCAAAAGACGTTAAACAAACGTTCTGTACCTCCTGGAATCGAAATCTCCCAGAAAAAAAACTAGAAGAAGTAAATTTCTTTCTTAACGCTTGCTTTCAGTAATATCATATTACTGATATGATAATCACACTATACATATTACTAATATGTATAATGTAATTATGTTTTTTAATACTCAAACCATTGCAATAGTATTAAATGTTTGTTTTTTTTAACGATAATTAATCATACTAAACTTAGCAAACTCAAACTCTAGATTGTTTAGTTTCTTAAACGTAATAGTTATAATATATGGGACATAAATGCATTGATAAAATATATTTATCACAAGTGCGATTCTCAAAAAAAATACTGGGATTAATATGCCACCCCAAACCCCTGTTGCCTCCTACTCATTCCCCTGCCCCTCCCCCCCCCCCCCCCACGACGCTAAACCTCCCACTGAAACAAACATGTTTGATTATTTAATCAAGGTGCATATTTGAAGTACTAAAAGTCGTAAATCAAAATACCAAAATAAAGCTCTTGGGAAAATAAAAGAAAGAAAAGTATAAACTCGTTTGAATGCAAAACGACCAAAATAAATGCTAAAAAATGACCGGGAATAAAGCTTCAGAGGGTATAAGGTTGGGTCTGCTCTTAGTTACTTGAAATAAATTCTGAAAAAAATTTTTTCTTACGACTATGGTCTGCTCAAAGTTATTACTTTAAAATTATAGGCTATAATTTATAGCAGACACTATTAAAGCGAACGTCCAAAAAAACAAAACAAAACAAAAACAAACATATTAAACAAAAAGGACTGTTGTTATTTTTAAAAATTAATTTTTTTATTATAATGTGAACAAGGGTGACTATAAACGCTTTTTAATTATTTTTGCATCACAAAAAAAAAAATTGTTTGCTTAGTTGCTACCTTTATTTCATAACAGAATATACTATCTAGCTTTCTGGGAAAGTTTCCTATGCTTAATCAAAAATTTATTAAATACCTTAATTTTCTGATTTTACATAAGCATAAACGTGTTTCTAAAACAGGGTGAGAATGAAACAGCCATTTTGAAATGAATTTGAACACAGCATAATGTTTTTTATTATTTAGATTAAAGTTACATTAACACATTAAAAGGGCGAAATACTATAATACATTACATTAATATAGTTACATTAATGAGATTAAACAAATAACATAAAGTGTAATTTGTGTTGAACCTTTTATTTCAATTCATGTGAGAAATTTTACATACTAAATCCTAGTTTTTTCAGAATAATTACATATATCACTATATTTACAAAACTGCTATAAAACAGAATGTTTTGTAGTAATTGTCTAGGGTTTCTTCTTACAGCTATGTCTTAGTTATTACTGCTATGTCTTAGTTATTACTGCTATATCTTACATTGTCAGCAATGTAAAACATAGTAGAACCATAAAAATATAGTTTGACCCTTTTTTCAAATGATGTCTCTTCAAAAAAAATTAAACACAATCTACCCATGGCATATTTTTTTTGATTTAAAAATCAGTTATCTTTCTTTCATCATAATAACATTTAACTATAAGTTAAATGTTATTATAATAAAAATCAGTCATATAAGTAGTTGTTTGGACGAATAAACTTTCTATTGGACCATTAGGTTTGGTTTATCTCCCCAATATTAATTTTTTATTCAATCTTTCGAATGGAATGTTGTAGCAGCCAGTTGAAAAATTTTAGCAGTCTTCTTTTTGGTAAATTTTGGTTTTTTACTTAAGTTACAGCTACTTTTAAGTCTTCTTGTGTTTAACTTGTTTTATAACCTTAGCTATTTTTTTTTTAATTTTGTGGCATAGTTCTTAAAATTAACAAAAAACCTTTAATTATTTATTAAAAAATGTCATTTTCAAATAAGGAAATAACTAAATAAAGATAACAAATAAAGTAATGCCAAACCAAAAAAGGACAAGCTATATCCTAAATTTTGGTTTTATTAGAACAAAATGTACCTGAACTTGGTATGCAGCAAGTTTTATGATGTTTTTATACATGCTTCTTGATATATTGCTCGATAAGTTACCTAACTACTTGTACCAGATAACTTGCTGTTTATATGCGATAGAGAAAAGTCAAGAAATTAAAATTTTTATGCAGCAAAAAGTTAGCTTCTATATATTATATTTAAATACACTGAATCAAAATAAGACAATATTTAGCTTAATTGTGTGAGTTTCTTCACCAATTAGTGAACTTGGTGCTGATGATTGTTTCATGCTGTTGTTCATAGACACCCCTGTTGTTGGTATACATTTGTCACACATGTTCATTTACATTTGTCTTACCATATGTCCTGACATCATATATTCATTGTTTATACTGTTCTGTTATAGTTTTTGTATAAAGAAGATATGATAGATAGAAGATGTTTTGTATAAAGTAGATAATGAAAACAATTTTTAATAAGAAGGATAGCCATCTTGTCAACAAAGTTTAACTTTTTAGAAAAAACCAGGTTCCCGTTATTTCATTTTAAAGTTTTCTTTCTTCATAGATCAATACAGATTTAGTTTTTTTTTTAAACTCAAAACTCAGAGGTCGACAATAAGTGGTTGAGGATGGTTTTAAGTTTCTCCATAAAATAACTTTTTTTCATTTATATTTGTAAATAGCTCTAAAGGAACAACACAAGTCAAAACTAAAGAATTTTCATTTGATAAATTACGAGAGCTGCTATCCGTTAATTTTTGTTTATAAATACTTTGACTAGTTGAGCCATCAAATCTAGCTTTGTGATTTAGCGTTGCTTTATCAAACTCACGAGACAAAATAATTTCTCTCTGTAATTCTACTAATCTTTTACAAGTATGATTTACCAGATCTTGTAATGAAACATTAGCTGAATAGTCACTAACAAATATGTTATTATGGTAGCATAGTTCTTTTGTAGCTCTGATGTTATTATATGCTGAGTATGTACAATTTTGTTTTTCACAAGCATTATTTCAAATGTATTGATAAGAAGTCTTTGATAAGTGATTATTTAAAAGTAGCGCTAAAGCCTCAGTCAGAGGCTTATTGTCATTAAACTATTTGTTTCTAAAATGTTCCTGGTTGAACTACTCTTATTAGTACTTAAATTTATACTTAAATTAGCACATTCATTTTCATCTATTAAATTCCAAATTCCATCTATTAAGTTCCAAGTTCCATCTCTTAAGTTCCATCTATCAAATTCCATCTCAATTCTAAATTCCATCTATTAAGTTCCAATGTTATTTTTGGTGCAACAATGTTTCATACATGATGTTAATAAGTTAAGTTATTAACAGTATGGTAAATTGCTGTTGTATGCATTTGCTAAATCCAATCACTTTTGAAAAACAATAGTGCAAATTAATCTGCATTTATTTAAGGAAAAAATCTTTTCACTGTTGTAAATAAAAAATGTGGTCGGCTGAACTGCAATTTGAAAGCAGCTACATCAAATAATGCAAGCAGGATTGGTCTAACCACATATCCAATTTTGTTGGATATTCAGTAGACCAATCCTATATATATGTATATGTAGTCCAATATGTTTAACTATATTATAAACTTTTTTTTAGTATTCAAAAGTGATATTGAGTTTGAAGAAGAATTGGAAAAGAATGAAGTTTTTCTTAGTTACTTTAATACTTTTCTTTCTTTACCTGTAAGTTTTAATTTGTTTAATTCAAATTTTGTTTAAGTTTTATAAAAGTTATATTTAAAAGCTCATCAGTAAAAATTGTAAAAAATAAAATAAAATTAGTAAAAACAATTTTCTACAGCCTGTTTCACCTTCTCTAGGTTAATCAGGAAGAATATCTGAATATTAATTTTTAATTTTCATTTCTCTTTTGTAAACATAGCATACGTTGCAAAAGCAATTTGAAATTATTACCAGGGGCTATTCAGGTGCCGCCCAATTTTGAAATTGAAGACCTTTTTTTTTGTGGCAAATATTGCTTTTTTGTGAAAAAATGCCTACATTTGGAAATATTTCTGCCAAATTTTACCTTCACAGGGTGGGGTAGATACCGTTGCCCAATTTATTTTCATAGAATAGCTCCTGATTACCCATTTCAAATATAAAAACTTGTTAAACAAAAAATCTGACTTAATTTCTAAATGCAGACATAAAATCAAGTTCCTTTAAAAATTATAAAAACAAATGACCAAACTAAAATTATCCTAATTCTAAAGATTTTTTTTTACAATTAATTTTTTAAAAAGTAATGTAGCTAATATAAATTCCTAGTTGTAATAGAAATAGAGTTTTTATAAAATTAATTATAACAATTCTCAACCTCTTTATTAGTAAAAGCACTTATCTAAGTTAATTTACAATTTATTACTGCTCTGTTCTTTAAGAACATTGAGCACTCTATTTGTAGAATACACTAGCATAATTTATACATATATATATATATATATATATATATATATATATATATATATATATATATATATATATATATATATATATATATATATATATATATATATATATATATATTTGTATATATATATATATATATATATATATATATATATATATATATATATATATATATATATATATATATATATATATATATATATATATATATATATATATTTGTATACCAATACCAGTTATTTGGTATTCAAAAAAAAGTTTAAGTTGCTTTTATTATGTAAAATGGAAAACTAAAATGTTAAAAGCGTAATGATTTTTGAAATGCTTTAACAGACTAGTGGTAAAACTTTTAGCTCACTATCTTTATTACTGAACTTGACCTTAGACCAATGAAAAAAATACAGTGCTCAACCTGTTTATCTACACAGCAAGCTTGTTTAACAAGGTTTTCATTTTTGATTTTATTAAGAGAGAGTTTCAAATATAATAGAGAATAAAATAAATAAAAAAGAAAAAGGAAAGAAAAAAAAAAAAAAAAAAAGTAGTCTTGATGAGATGAATTTAATTTATTAAAAGTTTAAATTAAATTTATTAAAATACCTTCTTAAAAATAAAATGCAATCTGAGTTTTTTTTTGTTCATTCTGCAATCTAATTAAATAAAATGTTTAAAGATTAGACACTAGCAGCAGAAAAAAACTTTTTCGGATTCAACATTTGACTGAATTGCTATAAGTAAGTCATAATTTTTTTGTAATATTTTACTTGCACATGTTTATATTTAAATAGCTTCTTACTTAGAAGCCTTTTTAAAATGCCTGTAATATTAGATTTGAGAAGAAAAACTAGTTCTGATAAGAAATTTATTATCTACCACAACACAAATTATGTTTATACAAAAGCATTTTCTTGAGTCTTTATTTTCTAACAATTAATACTTGATTATTGCATGCGAATGCATGACTTCAATTTCTCAAAATTTTCGAAGATTACTATTTAGCCATTCCATTTAGTTTCGAAATCTAAAATATTCAATTCTGTAGTACTTATTTTTTAATGGTAAATGTTGAAATATTTTTGCAATTTTTCTAAAATTTTGTTGAAGAGTGTCTGTGATTTGTACCTTATATTTCATTACAAATGGTCCCTAATATGTGTTTACACTTTTCAAAACCACTATATCATCATATTGTATTATCATTTGTATTTTTTGGTATTGAAATGTGAGTTGATGTCCATTGATTTATTCTAACTGCTATTTCTATCTTCGTTTTGTTTTTAATATACAGAACATCTACATCTGTAAGTTAAATTTCATGATTCAATTCAAATTGCAGTTGATTTGACTTATAAGTGAAGTCAGTACTAATTTGCTTAATTGCTACATAACTGCTGCAATGTCATTCAAGTTCATAGCTTAAATTTATTGCTTTTAGTAATTTTTGTAAGTCATCAGATGCTATAAATATTCTGAATGGAAGCCCATCGATTGCTGTCAATCTAACAAAGATTGCCAAAATTTTGCAAGATGGTTTCAAAAATATCAAAAAATAACTTTGAACATTCAAATATTAGTATGTAACTAAAGTTGCAAAAGCAAGATAAAAAAGTAAAGCAAAATAATTTATAACAGTACAAAAGGTGTAAAAATAAAAAAAATTTTAACATTCTTTTGAAAATACTTGTGTTTATAATTGTTTTAAAAACTATTTATACTACTCTTGAGAAGTTTTAAATGACTTTAACAAGTGAAGTAATAATGAGTTATAATGATGTTATAAGTAATAATGAGTTATACAGTATACTAATTCAATACCAAACCAACATTTTGGCAAACATTTTACAGAATCTAAAACTGAAATTTTGACTTAACAAAATTAATTTCATTAGAAAATGACTTGAATTTTTAGTTGAATGTTATCTTGGAAAGTTAAATTTTCCCTAAATTGTTATAGGGTAAATCTTCCCTAAATTGTTAAATTTTGAATTCCTAAATTGTCTTACTTTATCTTAATCTTAGTTTATGCTTTGTTTTTTTATTTTTGTTTATGCATTTTGAGGTATTTTTATGTTTTGAGGTATTTGGTGTGAAAATAACATTTAATGAAAAAAAAAAACTTTTTGACGTTGAAATTGCAACAATACAGAAAAAGTCTTTAGTTAGTTAATTTTTTTTAAACTTAATTTTGATTTTTTGATTTTTTTTTTCATTTTGAAATTGGTCATATTATTTTTCATGATTATTTTCTGGTATGACTTCATTTCGCTAGATTTTTCGGCACCATCAGATCTTAACATGGATTCGAAACTATCGTGCTCCTCTGTTTTTGAAAGCAGCAATATACAATGAATACAAACTTTGTTATTTACTAGCTGCCTCACCAGTGGTTGCAAAACAAGGTGCTTTAAATATTTTTTTTTAGTAATTTTTGTTATCTGAAATTTAAAAAGATTTTTTTTAATTTAGCAGATATTTATAGGTTATATTTCTCAATACCAAATTAATTACTAATAATATACTTAACGAAAATACATTATATAAAGTTCTGGTGTAATAAAGTTCTGTTTTCACAAAAGTTAGAAGTTTAAATCTAGTTTAAAGTCTTTCTATTAAGACAACTTTTTTATTTTTAGATTTTATATCACATGAGGACTTTGTTATTTTCCAAAGAAATCATCTGAATAAAATTTCAAGTATTCAAAGGTTCAAGCAATATCTAGCTGGGTCTGTTGGAGAAAATCTCATTGAGTTTTGGTTAGATGCTGAAAGATATAGATGGCAGGTGTGAAACATTCTTGTTTTCGTAATTTTTTTCTTTCTTCAAGGCTGAAGAGGTCATTAATGTCAAGAAGGTTGATCATCTTTATTTATTTAAAATTATTTTTTGTTTGTTAATATTTTTTTGAGAAAAACCCTTACTCCAAAATGCAAAACTAGACTGCTTTACATAGAAAAAAGTCAAACATATTACTGCCAGAGATTTTGTGGGCATCAAACATAGGACATTAATCAGGAAATTCCTCAAATACTATATATATATATATATATATATATATATATATATATATATATATATATATATATATATATATATATATATATATATAGATAAATAGATATTTAAGATATTTAAGCATATATAAATATATTTAAAAACATTCTGAATATTTAATTTTTATTTTTTTATGTGCAGAGTGTTGCTATATTGACTATCTTATAACCTGCTGCTACAAGGAAGTGCCGCTACATCAACTGAGGGTTTGGTTGGGACAGAAAGTCTATTAAATAATTAAAAAAAAATTAAATAAAAAAAAAAAAAAAATTTCGAGTCTTTAAAACAATCTTTAAAACCTTAAACTAACCTGACGATGGTATATATATATATATATATATATATATATATATATATATATATATATATATATATATATATATATATATATATATATATATATATATATATAAATATATATATATATATATATATATATATATATATATATATATATATATATATATATATATATATATATATATATATATATATATATATATATATATATATATATATATATATATATATATATATATACTATATACAGGGCCTATTCTAGGAAAAAAATTGTGGTACCCCTTTGTGCCGGCGAACCTTAGTGGAAAATCTACGTTTTTTTGCGAAAAAAACAATAATTGCTGTAAAAATAACGTAAAAAAGATGTAAATAAAAAAAAGAAAATTTATTTTAGTTTGTATATATTGTCAGGATAACCAATAAATTCAAGTAAATTAAAATAAATTAAGTTAAAACAGAGCTGTATTTATATACTTTTTATAATAAAAATTACATATTTTTTACAACTATTTGGTTCATGCTAAATGCAATTATCAGAATGCAATATATATTGCATTCTGATGATTGCCGACCTCAATCTTTTAGAGATCGGCAGCAGGTCAGCAAATAAAATTTGATACAATGGTCTTACCATAAAACATAGAAATGAGGTCGGCAATTTCTTGCCGATATATATATATATATTTATATATATAAATATATATAAATATATATATATATATATATACATATATATATATATATATATATATATATATATATATTTATATATATATATAAATATATATATGTATATGTATATATATATATAAATACATATATATATATATATATATATATACATATATATATATATATATATATATATATATATATATATATATATATATATATATATATATATATATATATATATGTATTTATAAATATATATATATATATATATATATATATATATATATATATATATATATATATATATATATATATATATATATATATATATATATATATATATATATATATATATATATGTATATGTATATATATATATAAATACATATATATATATATATATATATATATATATATATATATATATATATATATATGTATATATATATATATATATACATATATGTATTTATAAATATATATATATATATATATGTGTGTATATAGATATATAGATATATTTATATATATATATATACATATAAATATGTATATATATATACACATATATATATACATACATATATATATATAAATATATATACATACATATATATATATATATAAATATATATATATATATATATATATATATATATATATATATATATATATATATATATATATATATATATATAATTATGAACGCGTGTTTAAATGGTGTCACACTGAAATAGCCTGTTTCATGGAGCTTTAGTACATACATCAACTATTTTATAGCTTTCTACCACAAATGAGTGCCGCTTCATTGACTGAGGGTTTAGCATGGGGCAGCAATTTATATATATATAAATATATATATAAAAATTGCTGCCTCATGAATTTGTATATATATGTATATATATATATGTATATATTCGCTTCTTATATGTATATATATATGTATATATTCGCTTATGTATATATATAAACATCTTCGCTTCCAACAAGGCTGCAAGCAACCACTAATTAGTGTTGGAAGTTACTGGAAGTGAAAAGATGAAGATTGTAGAGCAAGATAACGATTGACAGACGACTTAAAAGATTGCAAATTATATGAATCAGGAAAGCAAGATGAAGGAAGCAAATTCCAAAGAACTGATGTTCGAGGAAAAAAACTAGGCGAATAAGAGTTTCTGGAGCACTTAGGAACAGTAGCAGAAAAAGGATGAGACAATTGAATGACGAGTAACACGAGAATGAATTTTAGTAGATGGCACAAGGGACGCTCGCTCCTTAGAGCAGTGCCCATTATAGTATTTGTAGAAAAGAGAAAGAGAAGCAACATTACGACGATGTGATAAAGGTTGGAGATTGGCTGCCAGAGCAGGTCCAACTATGTTTACAATTCGTTTTTGCACCTTGTCTAAAAGAGAAAGAGCATCATTAGAAGATCCGCCCCAGATGTGGCAACAGTATTCCATACAGGGACGGATTTGAGATTTATAGAGATAGAGAATAGAATCTGGAGTAAGAAAGTGTCGAGCTCGATAAAGAGATGCAACCTTAGCAGATGCTAATTTTGCAATGGATTTGATATACGATTTAAAAGAAAGATCAGAAGTAAGAGTTAATCCTAGAAGATGAATGGTAGATTACTCATCTAGTACATTACCATTCATAAATATAGGAAGATCTAAATTATTACGATAACAATTGGAAAAAAATTGAGTTTTATCTGAATTAAAGTTCACCAGCCACTATGAGCCCAATGTTGTAGCAGAAGTGAGATCCTGTTCAAGCTCAGATGCCCCCTGCAAGCAATCAGAGGGAGTTGGCTTCTTATTGTGACGAGAATAAATGGTAGTATCATCAGCGAACAATGCCACCTTAGATGTGAGAAAATCTGAAAGATCGTTAATGTAAATTAAAAAGAGTATAGGGCCAAGGATTGAACCTTGAGGAACCCCTGAGGTTACAGAATAAGAAGAGTGCTGTCCATCGAGGACAACTTTTATACTACGACTGGAAAGGAAAAATGTTTCCAGATACACCGTAAGAAGAAAGCTTATGGAGAAGACCAGCATGCCAAACTTTATCAAACGCCTTAGAAATGTCAAGAGTGATGGCCTTAACCTCTCCACCTTTATCTAATGCGCGATAAAACCTATCGGTTATTACTGTTAGCAAATCAGCCGTAGAACGAGAAGATTGAAATCCATATTGATGATCAGAAAGTAGGTTATGAGATTCGAGATGAGAATTTAAGTGTTTGTTTATTAAAGATAAATTAATTAAAAATAATTAAAGATTCAAAAACCTTGCTTATGATAGGAAGAAGACTAATGGGACGGTAGTTAGATGAATCAGATCGCTCTCCAGAATTTTTAAAAATAGGGATAACAGATGCTGCTTTCCAGCAGGCTGGAAAACAAGACTCTGATAAGCACTTGTTAAATAGTTTTGAAAGGATAGACGACAGCTCGGGAAAACACTTCTGCAAGACTATAGCAGGTATGTTGTCCGGGCCGCAAGCTGTAGAAGAGTCTAAGCGGGAAATCACTTTAGATACAGAAGCTGGAGTGATATGAATGTCGAGCAATGGATCAACCTGTTTGACGGGTATATCAGGTAGAACGCAACTAGTGGCATCAAGAGATGATATTGATGAAAAGTTCTTGGCAAACAATTCAGCTTTGTCTTTAGGTGAGGTGACAAAGTCTGAACCGTACAAAAGAGGTGGAATTACAGACTTGCTCTTATTATTGATACTATTAAAGATTCTCAAGAAGTCACAAGAGCATAATTTTTGTGATGAAATACGAGATTTCATGATCTGAGAATAGCGGGCTTTGGCGTTAGACAAAACCTTTACAATGGTTCCTAGCAGTAATAAACAGACTGTTTTCTGGAGAATTGTTTTGCTGATAGATATGGAAGTAATGGTTTCGATTAGCAATTGCAGCAGCACAATGTGAGGAAAACCATGGAGAAGAATGAGGCTTGACCTGGAATCATCGAGAGGGAATAAAGGATTCCATACCAGCCTGAATCCATGAAGTTATGTAAGAAGCACATTTGTCAACAGGAAGACAAAAGATTTCTACCCAGGGGCCATCATGAAGAAAATCACGGAAAGAGTTCCAGTTAGCTTTAAGTCAGCTTTATAATTATATATGTATATATATATGTATACATAAAGAAAAACATATATATATATATGTATACATAAATACACACGAAAAGAGTCCCAGTCAGCTTTATATATATATATATATGTATATATATATGTATGCATATATATATATATATATATATATATATATATATATATATATATGTATATATATATATATGTATATATATATATATATATATATATATATATATATGTATATATATATATATATATATGTATATATATATATATATATATATATATATATATATATATATATATGTATATATATATATATATATATATATATATATATATATATATATATATATATATATATATATATATATATATATATATATATATATATATATAATATATATATATATATATATATATATATATATATGTTTATAATATTTATGTTTAGACACTGGAAAAAAATCGAATTTTTTATATTAAAGAAGTTGAAGAAAAGTTTATCAACCAATATTCTTTATCAAATATGTATATATATATATATATATATATATATATATATATATATATATATATATATATATATATATATATATATATATATATATATATATATATATATATATATATATATATAATATTTATGTTTAGACACTGGAAAAAAATCGAATTTTTTATATTAAAGAAGTTGAAGAAAAGTTTATCAACCAATATTCTTTATCAAAGTTAATACCTGATTTAAAAGATGCAATGAAAAAGCAACTAAATCAAATATTTGATTTAAGTAACAAAGTAAACTTGCCTATAAAGTCTACACTGTTTGTTCCATTGCAGAAACATGTGTTGGAGTGCATTCAAAAATACTGGATACCCAAGTATATTCTACATTGTTTTCTAACAAGAAAAGCTGTTCTGTCAAGATGGAGTATTACATTTTGTTTTTAATTATATTTAGCAAGTTTTTTAGTTATTCAAAATATAGCTTAATACACATATATATAATATTAGAAGATATATATAAATTTAAACTTTTTCATCAAATATTATCATAAACTTATAGTAAAATAAAACAATAATATTAACGGAAATAAAGAATACATAAATGATAATAACTGCTAAAAAGTTAAAAGATTTATTTAAAGAGTTAAAATAGAAACATGATCCAATTAAAATGTTGAAAGTGTAATTCATTATTAATTCATTGTAATGATTATTCAAATTAAGCTTTTATTATTAGTTATTTTTTTTTGTTATAATATTTAGTTATATCTTCTTATATTTAAGGTTTCTACTCCAATCTTATTTAAGGGTTCACTCACTTATAATATATACTTTTTGTAATTTTTTTATTAGGAAAAGGAAAGATCAGGAAAAATTCAAATATTTTAAGTGTTATCAACAAGTTAAAAGAAATAAAAAAAAGGGAAGATAATCATAATACAAGAGTCCTACAAGAGGCTCCAAAGTTAGTTTTAAGTGACAAGCTGTCTCACCATAAATCTTTGCATGATACAGAATCTTCAAGGCGATTAAACATAACAGCTGAAGAAAATTTAAAACTAATGGTATTTTGTTTAAACTTAACTATGATATTTGTTTGTTATATTTTTATGCTCGAACAAAAAAAAGCTAACTTTGATTCAAACCTTTTGTTGGTCCCTAAAAAGTTAAAGTTAATAATTTTATTTTTAATATTTGATAACTTATTGAAAATTCATTACATTTTTATTATCATTATTTTAATGTTTTTATTAATAATACAGTTTTTTTTAAAACATTTAATCTAGTAGTTTTTTCTAATTAT